CACCGCTAGTAATAGCTTGGCATACGTACTTTTCCAGATATGTTCTCCATATTTATTGATGGACATTATTATGTCTTAAATACTGAATGGAAGTGCTATACCTCATGTTAACTCTGTATTCAAAACCAGCCTGTCTTCATAGCTGGAGTTTTGGAAGCAAATATGATGGCATCACATTTATCTGTTGCCTGGAAGAGGGATGTTTATCGTCCCTTTGCATTTGCAAATTGTTTCAGACTGATAATTTAGTGAAGCATTTAAAGATTAAAACTGCATCCTGTATTGACACTTGTGTAAATATTTGGCCATTTAAATGGTATTAGCAAGCTGTAAACTCCTGAATGATCCCTGTGTAGCTGCAGAGTTCAGCGTCAGTATGTCAAAAAAGGTTGGAAAACCTGATTTTCACTGTCATCCAACATCTGCTAGGCTTTCAGAACAGCAAGGCTTTTTTTTTTGAAAGGCTGTGAGACACAGCATAATTTTCTGCTGCATTATATTTCCAGAGCAGACTTCCAATATTGACCCGAAAGTACTCGTGGGGCTGTGCTCTGCAGCGGCTCAGACTCAGATGCATATAAATGAACTAAAGCCTATACCGTGAAATCAATGTTCATAGACGTTTTTCCTGTAAAAGTCAGGCATTCACAGCCCCACATCAAAATGTTTTATTAATTTTAAAGTGAATGGACATCTTACGTCATCATCTTGTGGTGTTTTTTCTTTTTTCCTCGAATAATAAAACACTAAGGAAATTACTTCTTTTCAGTTTTTCCCCAGGCAGTCATTCCTATTGCATCTTAATCTCAACGAATATTTCACAAATAGTCTGGGTGATGCTTACCTTTCTTAAACACCTACCTTTTTTTTTTTTTTTAAGCTCTGTAACACAATTTAGCTCTGACTCTTTCAATGTAAGTTACTCAGTGTATGACTGTCACTGGCAAGTGGGTAGCATTATCTGCTTTATCTTGCTTCTTATTTAAGTGACTACTGAAGTTTGCAGGAACTAGTAAAACAGAGCTATTAATGAGATAAAATTAAAATAAACTTGCTTTCATATGGTATAGCTAGTTGGTTAAAATTTCCTATTCTCCTAGGCACAGCTGTTAATTGTTCTTGCTTGCAGCAAGCCTCCTTGGTGATAAATGCCCTTTCATTACCAGCAATTTTCTTCTCACCTCTGTCTCATTTAGGTGATTTTGGTCTTTCTGATGTTTCATGTTCTGGGACATCTTTGGCTCTTCACATTTATTATCAAGTTTTAATTTAAGGAAGGACAGAAAGTAGCTGTGCTGGGGACACAGAGGTGCTTGGTTTGTGGGTGTACTTGTTGGGGTGGGGGGTGTTTGAGAGCTTGAAGCGGTGTTTACCTGCGCTGTAGCTAGCATGAGATACTGCTGGTATTGTCGTTTAGCGAAACCTGGATTTGCCAGAAGGAAAAATCAAGGAAACTACTCATCTGGTTTGGGTTGATAAATAAAACCAGTTTACTTTATGAGAAGGCTTGTGACTGTGCCAAAGTTAATAAAAAGTTGAGATGAACTTTGTTACGTTCAAAGGCGTTCTGCTTCCCAAACCGGCTTTCCCTCAGATACTGCTGGGATATGGGAAGTCTCCTCGCCATCAGTGGGTCATGCACGCTGTCGTCTGCGGCCCGTGTCCCTGCATGGGAGCCAAATGTTCAGAGATACCTAAGTGTCCCAGCTGTCCCTTGTTTCTTTTATGTGGTCTCCCCGGGGGAGGAGGGAAGGGTGAAATGCTGGGAATCACCTCAGAGGTTTCTAGTCCTTTTATAGTAGAGGATATTTTCATTGTTAAGTCATCTGCTGTTGAGATCTGCTCAAAGCAGTCCTTGGATTCAAAGGAAGCTGAAGAGGAGGAGGGTCTGTCCTGACAAACTGTAAGAAAACTTTTGATAACTTACCAAACTAACCATTCTATGATTCTATGAACTTGTTTTCCTTTTTACTGTCTAATTATGCTATTCCCTGTATGTGTTAATCACGCAGTTTGCAGTGATTGCAATTAGAGGTCATTGCTGCCTTTTAGAGAACGCTGGATATTTCGGTACCAGCTCTTGTGACATTCTCTTTCCAATAAATCCTGTTGCTTTCTGGAGAGCGTGTCTTTGGAAATCTTATAGCTCCTTTGAGCCACTCTTTGGATGAGAAAATATCTGACTCTAAAAGAAAGATTTGATGAGGTAACTCCCGTAAAAGTGTTAGGGTGGCCACTTTCCTTCAGTAGCTGGATATTTCTCCGAGCCGCTCCAAGGCGGATTGCACGAGAGTTCTCTCATGTTGCAAACGAGCAGCAACATTTCTCCTGCGGGGATGCAGAACTAACAGACTATCTCGGATGAGCCACGACTTCAAAACATCTTGTCTTACTAATTGACTCCAGTTCTGGGCATTGAGATCCAGGACTAATGTAAGATTTCAGAAGAAACTATATATCATCAAAATCGCTGTGTCCCTAAAAGAGTGTAATTAAATGGCCAGAGTAACTGTGTTAAGAGGAAAATCATCCTGCCTTGTTTTTTCTCCACCATTCTGTCTACCATCCATTTCTTTCCTGAAATTCTCTCAGTAAAGAGCTTTATACTTAAGTGGACTAACAAAAATTAGGGCGAAAAATGGTTATAGTTTGCTTTTCAGTCCTTTATCATATTCATGTTTGTCAGTGTTCCTTAAGTGGGAGTTTACTTCCTGATCTGCATCATGATAGTTTCATTATTTATCCAAACAAGGGTTTGGAAATCTCTTTCCAGCCATAATCATTTAGAGCAAGATTTTCAAAGGAAGCCTCATAGGAAAATTGAGATTTGAGTACTTAAACTCTGTGGCAAATCTTGGAAACAATGGGCTCCTTGTAGTTTGATAGCAATGTGCAGGGCTGTGTGGCAAAGGGCAGTGATTTTTGGGAGATTTTGTTGCAGGTTTGTATGCTTCCACAGCAAATTCATGTCACTTGTGTTTTTGACAGTTAAAATATTCAGCTAGTGTTTGTAATTGTAGTTGTTCATGCTGTTTCCATACAGCACCTGCAATGCTTGAGTTGCTAACTTAAAGCCATATTATATATAAACAGAGGACTAAAGCAGAAGAGAAATTATTTTCTTTTTAAAAAGTTTTTCTTTTCTTCCACAGGTATTTCTAATACTTTTTCTTTGTTCCTTAACACTCAGGAGGCTATTATTTATTTATTTTAAATGTACTTATGTATCAGTTTTGTTGGTGTAAGTGGTAAGAGCCTTGATTAAAACAACCCCCCCAAACCCTACAGCAGCTGTTGCTGCAGGCAATTCTTTACTTGTTTGCATTATAGAAGAACCTTGAATCTTGAAACTGCAATTAAGCTTATACTTGGTCTTACTGTCATTACGTAAATTACTGGGTATTCACAATAGATGGTAAGGGTAATGTTTTCTCCTGAATTTAAGTGACTGTGGGAGATGCAGAAGTGACAAAGCTTAGAAAGTTAATGCAAGTCAGTGCTGTTCTTGAGCATTCAGCAGTGCTGTTGAAACTCAGTGCTGCTCTTAAGCAAACTGTTAAGTAGTGTAGCATTTTATTTCTGTAAAGAACTGAACAACAATTAGCAAAAAAAACCCTCAGGATTTGGTGCTATTAAGATATAGGAAAGGAGTGAGAGCCACGCAGCCAAAGAGAGAATCACGTACTGAAGTTAAGTAATCTGCTTCCTCTGTGGAAAGCCATTGCACTAAACTAAGCAAACGGACACGGCGGCCGGAGAGGAGGATCAGCTCCAGACAGATCAAACACTGAGGATTGAATAGCAGCAAAGCAAATGCAGAAGGATGAAGGACACAGTTTACCTAAACTTGGTAAATTGAAAACAAATAGAAAAACCTCCATAGGAGATTTTCTACAAACAGTGTCTGTCTCTCTGTTCTTGGGAATCAAAAACCAAAAATTAAATTCTGTCCCTGGAGCTGAAACACAGACTCAGAGTTCCCCTTTCAAATAGACAGACTGTGCTTTAGTGGAGTGATAGTAGACAGCTATTTGAAACAGTCCAGAAGGAATGTGCGTTGCAGGGGAGGGGGGGACGGGGCACCCCACCAAACCATATTGTAAAATTCATTAAGGACAGTCTTTATTAAGAAAAAAGTTGCCAAAGATCTCGAGCACTGAGGTGTGGAAACTGACCACTACTGAGAGACGTTCTTCCATAGGGACTTCCAGATTCTGAGAGGATGCGGGCTGAGTGTGGGATGAAACTCTACTGCAGAGATTGCACCTCAGTCATTTTTAAGGATATTTGAGATTGAGTTAAAATTTATACTTATCTGGCAAGATAAATATGAGTCAAGGGTTCTCAGTCTTTGAAGAAACTCCTTAGGCTATTGTTAATTTAGATTTGTTCTAAATATGCTTTAGCAATGTGTAAGTACGTGACAGTTTTCTCACTCCAAACACCTTTTTGTATAGACTACTTAAGAGCTACTTGTAGTAGGAGGTTTTCTAGCAGAAATGTGATATATACAAAGTGATACTGGGTTGACGGTGCAGAGCTCCTTTCATAAAACTTCTTAGCAGTTAAATGGCTGATGAGGTTGTGCTTAATTAAGCTTTTAGAATTGGGGCTTTTTGCGAAGATGAGCCATGTACTACCTTTCCTGCCAATGTCTGTGGACAGGTTAGCTCAGTATTAATTGTACATAAGCTGTTGAACAGATGTGTTCATGCATACAATCATTTCTGTGTTCGGTTTGCTGACGGTTCCTTGCACGGCGCTCTGGTTTTGGCATATTTGGCTCTTCAGAACCGGTGACGTTTGGTTCCATCTTTCTCCAAAGGTGTAAACTGGGTTGGCAGATGGTTAATCTGTCACGTGATAACCTGCTTAGTGAAGTCAGTGAATGTCCTGATGTATTTTTTTAAAATAATATCGGTTGTATAATTTTATTGAATCATTAATAACCATAAATACTTGCAGCCACCTTAACCGACATACTCTCATCTTCCTTCTAGGCAGAACTAGTGAAAGGGAATCTGCAGAGTGTTGGGCTCACGCTCCGCCTTGTGCAGTCCAAGGAAGATGACGCAGGGCATGTTGTCATTGAGACCGTGACTCCAAACTCACCTGCTGCAGCTGCTGATCTGCAGAGGGGGGACAGACTTCTAGCGATTGGCAGTGAGTAATGCGTCAGCTTGCAAAAGAAGTGTGGTCTTGCGAACTGGGAGGCCCTGTCTGCGTGCAATTCAGCTGTGTTGCCTCTCACAACAATTACAGTAATGCCTGGCACTCATAATAACAGGCAACTGATGATTGCTCTAGAGCAAGGGAAAAGTCATTTTTGCATGACTTTATTTGGGCAGTGTGCTCATTTAAGATACTTTAGCCTGCATGTAATCTGTTGAATCTGACCATAGCCTGCAGATACTGTCAAATAGCTCCCAGAGATCTGGTGAGGGAGGTGCTTCAGCTCGCTGTTCAGCCACACTGAGAATGTTAGCACAGTGCCTATATTTTGTTAACGTATTGGACCTATTTTCTTTGTTAGCCTGCTTCTGGTTTCATTGTGACTGTGTATAAAGATCCCCATGTCTTTGGAGTCCTTTGTTAAATGCCTGCCGCTGAAAAGTCCAAACTTATTATAAGACCAAGGTTAAAAAACGTTAGCATATAAAATCAGTGTTACTGTATAGATCACAGCATAAATAACACACAGGAAACGGGAGTATTTGTTACTTTCTTTTCCAGCCCCTTAGTGATACATTTGTATGAATAAACAGGAAAGGATCCATCTGTTGCGTTTCAATTAAGCTCTTCTGTTGTAATTAACTTCCTCTGTTAGAGAGCAACGGTATTATTACTACTATTAAAGATCTAAACGTATTTTGACTATTTTTGGCTATTTAGATTGTTATCATAATTAAAATGTAACAATTTTTGTCTTTTTTTCATAGGTGTTAAAATCACATCAACTGTCCAGGTGTTGAAGCTTATTAGACAGGCTGGGGACAGAGTTTTAGTCTTTTATGAAAGGCCTGTTGGGTATAATCAGCATGGTTCAGCACTGCAGGATGGATTTGGACAACTGGAAGACACTGCTTTCTTGACACAGCCGGAAGATGACCAAGCTAGCTTATCAGCTGATGTTGACAACAGAGATTTTGATTCTGAATTTGAGGACTTAGCTTGCGAATCACCTGACCAAAAAGAAGATCTGCCAACGACTCAGAGTCCCAAACGTTCAGTAGTAATACTTGCTGCTAAACCGCTTGGAACTATATCTCCGATTCTGAATCGCAAACTGCATTTAGGTTATCAGACGGCGTCAAAAACGCAACCAAAAGAAGGAGCTAAAGCGGCAACATCCAAAGCGACTGAGGGTTCAGATGCATCCCAGCAGTCAGGTAAACAATCGCAGGGATCCAGCACTAAGCCTCCCGTGCCACCTCGGCCACAAAGCAAGCCTGTTTTGCCTACTAGCGAAGCTCAAAATCTCTTGGAAGCTGGAAGTGTATCCTCTGAAAAACCAGAGAGGCCACCTCCACCTGCAAATAATGGAGAGAAATGCATGGAGAAGGTAGTGAAGAATAACGATCAAATAGAAGACCCAGCGGTACCAAAAGTAATAACGGCCCCAAAACAGGATACATTAAAAGATGGACTTTCTGAAAACGCACGTAGTTACAAAGACAGTGGAGATGATCATCGAACATGGGAATCACCAGAAATTCCTTATAAAATCCGGCAAGGCCGATGGCCAAGGACGAGAACATCCTCCTGCCTCTTTGAAGTAGAAGGATACCATAAGTACCTTAATGTTGCACTGTGGTGCAGGGACCCTTTCAAAGCAGGTGGGTTTATCTGCTTAGGATATGCAAGCATAAAACTTGAGGAAATTGCTTTAGATTGTATAGCTACATCCTCAATGGAATATATTAGAACGTTTAAACTGGATGCTCCCACACCGAAAGCAGCAGTCACTAGAACAGCATTGCGGAATTTGACAACCCATAAGGGATTCAATGAAAAATTTTGTTATGGAGATGTAACTTTACACTTCAAATATTTAAAAGAAGGTGAAGTAGATGATGCAAACTTTCTCCTGGAAAAGGAAAGGGAATGTCACGTGGAAGAAGAAGCTCGTGCACTGCAGAAAGAGGATCCTTACTTGGGACAAATTGTTCTTACGGAGAACAAGCATAACTTCCAAGATACTCAGTTTCAGAATCCAACTTGGTGCGATTACTGCAAAAAGAAAGTCTGGACTAAAGCTGCTTCTCAGTGCATGCTTTGTGCTTACGTTTGCCATAAAAAATGTCAAGAAAAATGCCTAACCGAGACGCCCTTTTGTGTAGGAGCTGAAAAGCGACTTGATCGAACTGCGGGCGGTTGCAGAGCAGAAGGACAGGAAGCTCCCCAAGCCGCCGCCTCTCGTGTGGATTCGGAATCGAAAGCCGTTAACAGAACTACGGGGTTGACCAGGCACATCATCAATACAAGCACCCGTTTGTTGAACCTGCGGCAGGTCCCCAAAGCTCGCCTCTCTGAGCAAGGAACGGAGGGGGTAGAACCTTCGCCGAAGCACACACCAAACACGTCTGACAATGAAAGTAGCGATACTGAAATCAGTGGGCCCAGCAGCCCCTCAAAACGGGCAGGTTCGGGGATAAAGCTGGTCCGAAAGGAGGGGGGTCTAGACGACAGCGTCTTTATTGCCGTTAAAGAAATTGGTCGTGATCTCTACAGAAGTTTACCCACGGAGGAGCGTTTTCAGAAATTAGAATTTATGTTGGATAAGCTCCAGAACGAGATAGACCAGGAGCTGGAAAATAATAATTCACTGGTCAAAGAAGAAAAAGATACCTCCGACGCAAGGAAAAAAGCCTTGGTTTCTGCTGCACTGGCGAAGTCGGGTGAAAGACTGCAGGCCCTCACGCTGCTGATGATCCACTACAGAGCAGGCATCGAGGACATCGAGTCTCTGGAGAACATGTCCTTAGAGCGGCAGTCCAAAAGAGTGACTAAAGATTCGGAGGACGCCAATACGGCGGAAGAAATGGATAACGAGGATGTCAGTCTGACGGAGGCTCCAACATTCAGCATCATATCAGAAGAACCGGTTGATCCACCTCCATCAGTAGACTGATACTTGCGTATTTAGCCCTGGAAGCAATGGACCGAAAGAATACTTTGCACTTAATTACAGACACACACAAATTAAAACACTGGTATGATGTACGTGTCCTGCTTCTCCACAGTTACTTGCCTGTGTAAGAGTACAGCTAATAACGGTTCTTCTCCAGCTACAGCACCATCATTTTGCTAAACTGGCTGGTTAAAACAACATTTTTGGGGTTTATATTGGAAATTTATTTTTAATAACTTATTTTTTTCTAATTCCAGAACCTTACCATTTCACATCAATGTGTGGTGTCCTTAATGTATTACTGCCCCCCACCCTCCACCTGTTGTTTGTTTGGTTTTTTTTTAAGCTAGTGTTTTCAATAGGAAACTGGCAGGATTTTCAGAATGTTTAGTCTCCATTGTACGATGAAACAATTAAGCTTGTTGCATGCCGAAGCTGATGACTGGCACAGGAGTCGCTGAGGGACCAGGCGTCAAAATGCTGATCGGTTCCTGTACGTCATCTGGGCAGCTGTGTCTGTGTTGCCAAACGTATCCTGAAAGCGATCAAAAGGTCTTTAATTTTGTCCGTTATTAGGATTTACGGAAGTTAACGTTGCGTATCGTTTGTTTTCTATATTTTTGTTAAATACAAGAACTTCTCATAGTTTGTAATTAACATGAAATATAGTAATGCTGTACTTCAAAAAAAAATCCTCCTTAGAACCTTGGGCTGTTGTGTCCTGGCTGAATAATACTAGCTATCGAAGAACATACCAGTATCTCGTAATAATTTAATTGGGAATATTTTAGAGTTAAGAGGCTGGTTGCCCTTCCAGAGCAAAGTTACATGGTTTTGTGGTGGTGTGTCACCTGATACCCTGACGAAGGATAACTTCTTCACAAGGGTTGGAGGTTTCACTGCATTCTATGAAAAAGCATGTAACGACGGTTTACATAATTCAAACCAAAAATTAATACGTTGCTGCTGACGTTCTCATTTCGGAAAGCTTAAGGTACAAAATACTTCACAGAATAGTTAAATGTGTTCTCTCAGCACTTTGGAGTGCTCATACGGTGGTGAGTTGTATTCAGCTTCCCAGGCAGAAGAGACAGTCGGGGCAGAAGGAGCATCTTTCTCAGAAAAAAAAATGTCCTATAGTGTATATAACATGTTTTATTTGAGTCAAAATAAGCGAGTCCGGTAGGGACGAGGAAGAATTCCAGCCAGCAGCTTTTGAAAAGAACTGTTTGGCCTTGTGCTGTGTGGATCTCGGCGTCAGCTGGCTAAGGCCGTTGTTACTTACTTCCTGTAGACACGTCCGCGTCTCGTTTCCTGTGTGCGCCGTGTGAAACGTCATCCTCGGGCACGGGGTCAGGTACTGGGATCCTTATTACTGGTATCTTGGTAGTGGGAAGAAAAGATGCCTTTATGGGAACGGAGTTGAATGTAAGATGGTAAAAAAAGCTGTTTTAAGTTTTCGGGCAGCCTGCAATGTACCTCTCCGTCAGATTTGCTTCTCGGTTCAGTTTTGTGACGGGCAAAACGAAGAAGCGGTGGTTTTCACAGAGGGAAAAGCACACGCGTCAACAAAACGGTTACTCCCGCTCGTGCAACTACTCGCGCTTTGCGTTCTGGGCAGTTGACGACTTGGCTGATGTACGGAAAACACTATCCATGCTACGATAGGCATGTGACACACTTGGGAAATTAAGCTTCAGCAAATAATCGCACAAAATTAGCTTCCCTTCTTGACTAAAAGTTATTTAACCTGTACTTGCTTGAGATGCTTACTGAGACGCCCCCGCCCCGTTTTCTCCGTGGCTTACCATTGGTGGCGACCTGCCTTCAGTCCCCATCGGTGCTTCCTCTTACGGACAGGTGTTCGGGTGTAGCCAGGTACCTCACGGAGACCCCAGTACCCATGAAGGAGCTGTGAAAACCATGCGAATACCGATTTTTTTTTTTTTTGCGAAAACACATCCGTGGTTTTAAAGTGTCGCGCGGGGGGTGAGAAAAGCTGGATATCGTTTTCCTCCAATAGTATTGCTAATGATGATTGTAAGAGATAAATTAAACGTAGTGCAATATTTTTAAATATATTGAATGGGAAAAGGGTAAAATAGTTGTATTTTAGTGATGAGAAGGAAAACAAATTCCTATCTGGCATTAATTACAATAAACGGTGAATCTCGAGGGGAATACTACATTATACTATTACATGAATACTACATTCCTGATGTAATCTTTTGCTTCATGCTTGACTGTAAATAGCTGAAAATAAAGAATACCACAGAAACCAAGAATATCTTGACTTAATGATATCCGAATAGGTGGCAGCTACACACATTTGCAGAAGATCTGCCTAATATGATTTTGTTGGCTATTATTTTATCATGAGAATAAGCTTTAATAAAATAGTTTTGCTAAATTATGAACTTCTTTGCATTGTGTTAATATTTTTTTTTTGAACATTCGTATTGCAGTAGTTCATCATCTAAACCTCTTGGGGAGGAAAGCACACATTTTGTGTTAAATAGAAGTAGTGATGCTGGATTAATTGGGGTTTTATGCATTCATTTTTATTCTGCACAGTTTAATAGTAGACAGATTTCTTTCAGAACGGTGATTCCAGCTGATTCTCTGTGTACCTAGAGAATCTTCCAAAGCCCCCATAAGCATCCCCAGCATCTCGTAGGACCCCCCGGCGCTGCTGAGGTGACACCACCCTCCGGCCAGCGGCGCTGCCGAGTGCCACCCCAGTGTTGTGAGGGGAACGGACTCTCCAGACGTCGTGTGATGGCAGGGCAGCTCCGAATCCATTAACGCAGCCGTACAAATCCTGGTCTGCGAGCTCAGCTTTGGTCAGTTTTTCCTTATAATTCCTTCTCCTTGGGGATAAGGAATTTTCCCCCTTTAAATGTGAAATAAAACACGCGTGGATGTTTACAGCTACAGGGGAGAACTAAGGTGTGGGAGCGAATGAACCAGGTGACTTTATCAGGTTTAAAGTGTCACAGATAAAAATATACAAAATATGAAAGAAAGAACCCAAATTATTGCAGGGCAGAGGGTTTTTTGGTGTATTTTTGTGACTAAAACTACTTCCTGACTGCAGGCAAAAAGGGTTTGTGTTTGACTTTTCTACTTTTTTGTGTAGTAAGTAACTGCTTAATGTCTGTTTTGGGGGGAAAAGATGGCACAGAGAGCCCACACGTGTCTCTGGCTCTGAATTCTGTCTCCCTCTGAGTTCTGGTGGAGCAGGAGCAGAGCGGGTGTCTGGGAGGGGTTCTGCTGAGCAAACCACAGCAAGGTGCTGGTCCGTAAGGCCCCGTAGAAACCTGGCTCTGCCCGCAGAAGAGGCGTGTGATCAGTTCGTCTGTCATTTACGCCTTCTCCTGCTCGCTTTGTGTTGCAGGTTAACGCGCGTTTCTCCTTAATTTGGCTTTCCCCAGAAGAATGGCTTCACGTATTGGTCTTGTGCTGTCTTTTTTTTAATCTATATTCTGTTGCTGTGTTTGCATATGCTTAAACTTGTGAATTTAAGCAATACATTGGTTAATCAGCTGGCAAACAACAGGCAGTATGGTAATTTAGACTTCTAACATTAGTATCTTTGTTTCAAATATAGTTTTGATCAAATTCTTAATCCAAGAGTTCGCTGAAGCCAAGTAGAAAGTAACTCTGGGGGGAAATTTCAAGTATCCAAATGATCTACAACATGAAAATTTGGACGTAGCGCCGACAGTTGGTCTGTACGATTGTCACTTACTCGGTGAAGTACTCCACGTGTGACAGAGGTTTGGTTTACGCTGCATTAACGTCTGTCTCCCAGCACCCCGCAGCTTCGAAGGAAGGATTTCCAGCTGTTACGTGTCATATTTTCAACGCAATTGAAAACACACCACTGTCAAAACCTGTAAGTGGACTTTAAATAACTTTATTTTAATGTAGTCTGAATGCATATTCATTGACAAGGCAATACTCGAAGTTTCATCCACTATATCTTGTCATATTTTTGACCATAATATATACACTTTACAAAACTATATGTAAACATCGTATCTATACTGTAGTACATGAACCATCTGCAATTACGTGGAAGAAGGCACATAAAGATTGTAATTTTACAAATGAAAAGTTAACACCACAGTTGATAAGGACCTTGGGATTGTTTTTTAAATGCTGATCTTTCCAAGTCTGATTTTTTTCTCAGTGCAGTTAGGGACTGCCCGGTACGGAGCTTTGCCTCCGTCAGACTGTGTCCCCAAAAGTGAAGAGATACTGGCAACAAACCGGTCATGGTTTTTCATTACTTGTAGCAAAGTTGGTACTTTAATTTTTTGAAAAATAAATATACATTGAATTTCTAGCTGTGTATGCAAAGGCATGTAAAATAGTCTTTTGTGTGAGCTGCTGATGTTACCAGCTGGCTTTTGGGACATTCTAAGAGTAAATACTGTGATACTGCAGCTTTTCTTCACCAGTCGCCTAAGATGCAGCTAAAATAAAGCTGAGATACGCTGGAAGTAAAAGATTCAAAAGACAGGAATATAAAAAAGTGTCTTCATGCTGTCCTTGTTCCCTTTAAGGGAAAGGAACTGTGTCTGTACTTACTTCTCTACCCAGTGTTGTGTGGTTGGTTGGGGCTTCATATCACACAACTGGTCGGCTAATTAAAACTTCATTAAATCGCACTGACTAATAGCAGTTTAAGTACTGTTTCCCCTCGCCATTCCATGAGGGGCTCAGGTAGGGCTCGTTTCTGAAAGGAACTGTGTCTGTACTTACTTCTCTACCCAGTGTTGTGTGGTTGGTTGGGGCTTCATATCACACAACTGGTTGGCTAATTAAAACTTCATTAAACTGCACTAATAGCAGTTTGAGTACCGTTTCCCCTCGACATCCCCCGAGGGGCTCAGGTAGGGCTTGTTTCTGAACTGGCAAAGCAGCTCTGCCTTTTCCTTGGCTACCCTGCCACCCGAAGCTGATCCGAACGCTCCCAGCGCTGTGCCCATCCT